CGCCACACTCGACGAACACCGTCAGTTGAAATTGATACGTCCACGTAGAGAACTAATAAGCGCAGGCGTTGTGGAGTTCTTATTACGGGTTCGCATTTTATGGCACAAGACAAAATTGATGGAAAATGAGAAAAAGGGAGCGTGGAAGATTTCGGCACTTGCCTAGTAGCTTCCTTGATTATCCTTATCCACGTCGGCCATAGACACGTCAAAGATACAGACACGCACTGCAGAGTTGTTTCTGAATTATTTCAATTAAATTAAAAAAGAAAGCCGCAATTTTTTATGTTTTTATACACTAAAAAAGTTTTTTTTCTTACCGTATAATTTATTAATTGTAAATTTTTTTCATTTTTTAATGAAGTGGTGAAAAATGTGTATTTGTTTAGTGTACCAATGATAAATTTATAATTTTTTTAGAGTTTTTCTCTTTATATTTGATATATTTATCATTTTATCCTTGTTAATTGATCACTATTTTTTTATTTTTATAATATTTTTTATTTTCTACTACTCTTTTTTTGGAAAAAATATTTTTTTATTTTTTTATTTTAAATATTTATCACTCTACACTCTACACTTGGTTTATTTATTCATTTCTTTTTGTTCTTATATTTATTTTTCTATAATTTATTTTTTAAAAATATTATTATACCAAGACTAAGAAAATTATGTTTCAATATAGTAATTGCAATATTATTTTATTTTTTTTATTATGTTAAAAATTAACTTGACATCTTATTATATATCCTTATTAATGCATGTAATTTTTAGTATATTTTATTATATATATGTATTTTTTTATGTTGTCTGTTTTACTCATTATTGAAAGATATATTAATAAAATTCACACATTAATTTATTTATTAGAAAAATTATTTAACTCAAACATGTCTAAAACAGATGATCAATAAAAGAATTTGTTGCTCCAAACCAAGAAGGAATTCTCATCGCAACGAGAGTTTCATCGAGGAAACAAAGTACGTGTGAATTCTGAGATACGAGATCTTTTATTATGTTAATCTAGCTAGACTACAGACTACTGGACTAGAATAGTTTTAATTATTTTGTAAAAATTTATTAAATAAAAAATAATAAATCTACTCTGTTCAAATTCATTGCTTTTAATTAATGTTGCAAACTCTCCTTCCCTTTTCTGTTCTTTACCTTCCCACCCAAAGCAAGGTGCATAATATTATATGATAACCTTTAATAAGGTTTTCAAAAGTATAATAATGGCTATTTTTTAAAATAATTTTTATTTAAAAATTTATTAAAATAAATTTTTGATATTTAAACGGAAAACATAAAAAAATTATTTAAAATAAAAAAAATTAAATCTTTCTAAAAATATTTTTAAAATGTAAAAATAAATGGGATCCGGATGGTATTTAAAGTTATACTAACAATTACTTTTAATTTTTTTTATTATAAAACATACACGTGCGTGCGCATATATATATATATATATATATATATATATATATATATATGTAAAATTCCACTGAAATTTGCTGTAAAGGAGGCGCACATAGTTGCTTTGAATTCAATGAGAGATCAATGACTTTCTTTTGCAAGAACATGCCTGGTGTCTGACAAGGCATGGAGAACATATATCTACCAGTCGCTGTGATTTAGACAATATGGCAGTGAACCTTACCAAAGGACAATAATTAAATTAACAAGTCATGACCACCTCGAATCTCTCCCATGTTTTGCGACCAAATTGGGATGAATCGAATCCCCCTCGTTTATCGTCACGATCAACGGTTGCCATTTCATCCTCTTCCATTGGTGCACGTTGATGTTACCGAACACAGCGAATCTTTGAACCACTTTCCCTCAATTTCGAAAAGAAATCATGACTTCTTACATCATCAAATCAACTTACATTTCATAGGCTAATCCATTTCAACTGTTTTTATTCAAACTACATGGTTTTAACCCTCTTTTCTTTTTTTCCTATCGTTAATCCAGTGCAATTTGAAAGGAAAGATTTGGCTTGCCTAACGAAATTTTATTGTATCAATATTTTTTTTAATTGGGATAATCACAAAAAAATACCTGTAATATTATCTAGGTTTCATTTTCTTTCTATATTTTTATAAATTTTTTTACATGCATACTTGCTAGAGAGATTTTCTACACTTCAACGCGGGCTGATAAATTGTTTTTGCAACACAAAAAGCAAATTATTTAAGTGTTGTTATTATATTTCAAAGAAAAAAAACCCACAGCCTAGTATCATAAATAAAAAATTATTTTAAAATTTGGTTAGATTTAATGGTTTGATCTATAACTAGATCGAGTCTGAAAAAAAATTAGAACAGAATTACCCAAGTGTAAGATTATCAAAAACCCAAGTTGACCCCTGATTCAGTTAGCCCAAGAAAAATCATGTCAAAACTTGTTGAATATATTTTTTTCTTAGAATAGTATCTTTTTTATTTTTTTTTATAAAATAAAAAAATTTGATTGGTTTAAGTTAACTCAAATCAATTCACTCGACCCCTGACCTGATTATTGTCTCAGATTGACTCCTGCATAAGGCTTGTAAATAATAAAAAAAAACTTAGGAGATCAAATCTCAATAATTAAAATGTCAAATAATAAATAAAAAAATCTAAAGGAATAGCAATTAAGATAATAAGGACTTAATTTGCAAAAAAAAAAAGAGAGAGAGGACAAATAAAAATATTGAATTGAAGGCCAAAATTAAAAAAAAAATCAAATTAACAAATGAATCTAGAAAAATAATACTAATTTTCAATGAATTCAATAATGATGGATAAAACTTTTTAAAAATAATAAAAAAATAATTGAAGTCAACCTCATCCAATCTTTAGAATTTTATAATATGGATTATGAGAATAATCATAACATAAAAGTCAAAGCTAAAATAATAACAATGTAAAACTCACAACCAACCAAAATAATTAGGATTGAACTTGAAAAAATAAATAAAAAAGAAGTGATTTAAAAAATATAGATTTAAAAAGAACAAATTAAAAAATATAGAATAAAAAAGAAAGAGAACTAAATTTGAAACACAAATAAAATAAATCCAAATTATAAAATATGGAATTGAAAAAAAATTTCAATATAGAAAAGGATAAGAATAACTAAAATAAAATAAAATTAGGATCATACTTGATATAAAAATAAAATATCAAGGGATGAAATTAAATAACATATCAATTCAATAAAGGATTCAATACAAAATATATCACAATCAAAAGAATGAATACTAAATCTAATATAAAAATCAAGTGTAAAGAGATGAAATTGAATAAAAAAACTTGATAAATGATTTAAGATCAAATACACTACAATTAAAAGAATAAGGACCAATTCTCATAAAAAAATAATTTAAAGGGATGAAATTGACAAAGAAAAACTCAACAACAAGTGAAGGTCAAATACATTACAATTAAAAAAATGATAAGCTAATTTAACTTAATAGACAAATAGTCATACCTTCTTACTTTTTTTGCAATGGGTAACATGATTTTAAAGAAGGAAAAAAAAGGAAAAGGAAGGGAGGGAAAACTTAGAGCTCATCTATGAGCCACCTCGACATATGCACCTCGCCATTGTGCTGTGCTTAGGATGGTGAGACATATTGAATGTTGTTCTAGAAGGTGATGTTTGGTTCTGTTTTAGTGTTGCATGCTCTACGCCTATTTTCTAGTACATTTTCAATATGCGCTAGTCATTTTTAAATATAAACAATAATTTATATATAAAAAATACTCATTTACTCCTGATCGTATCTGATATTTACAATAAAACCATATGAAAATGATAAAAACACCTATATTTACAGCTTTACTTTTTTTTGAAACCCAAAGGTAATTCTATAGTTGCATTGTTTCAATAAAAAAAAAGATGGAGAAGCCCCTTTAACATATGCATATGTTTTTCCTCCCCAATGACGTGGTTATAAACAAAAAAAAATCTGTATAGACTATTTTGTTTCTAATTATTTTTTTAATATCAAATGAATTATATGAAAAAAATAATTCTACTTACGTGTAATCATTTTCGGTTTGGTTTACCTATAAAAACAACCAAACTAAAAATTTATAATAAATAAATCAAGATTAAACCAAAATCAATTCTAACTAACTTATTTCAGTTCAGTTTTTTATAACCAAAACAATTTATACACAATTATGATATACGATGAATGTATAATCAAACTCAAGTAAAATAAGTGCCTCCAATCCACACCCGCTTAACAACAACAATTAGAGTTTCATATTCAAGAAAAAAAATAATAGTAATGATGATGATATCATCATCAAGAACAATAATTATAAAATAATAAAAAAAACAAAAATAATAACAGCATTAACAGCAACGATCACAAGAAGAAATTTAACTGGCTTAAACCTAAAAAACAGGTAATATAATGACCACCCTCCTTTTGAGTTTGGAGAACAATACGAGAAAAGAAGATGGTTTTATTTTGTGTTTGATTCTTGCTGGATTTGCCAAGAAAGGTAATAATGACAGAAGTGAAAAGAAATGGGGCTGGAGGTAGTGCATTCCAGCCATTTCACAGTGAAAAAAGTGTTGGAAAGAATACAATTGTACTAGGGAGGCCAGGGCAAAAGAGTTAAAGCAGAGGGTTTTTTTTTTTTTACTTCTTATTGAATGTAGAAGAATAAGCCTAGGGTTAAAGACTCGAAGGGGAGGAGGCGGTTATTAGGGCTACTGGATTAGAATAAAAAATAATTTTTTATTTATAGTATATTTTTTAATCTGAATGAGTTTGATTTGGTTAGATTTTATCAGTTTCAGTATTACAATACCAAATCAAACTGAATTCTTTTTAAAATATTTTAAATAGTTTTTTAATTTTTTTTTTTGTTTACCCCTAATTCTTCCAATAAGGGGTGTGTGTGTGTGTAAGGACAATTCTATCTTTAATCTCTTGATAAACAGTAAAAGTCGAAGGGTTTTAGGTTTTTTCTTTAATACCCAAATAAAACTTGCGAAGCAGAATTTTCACGGTGCTGTGCTTGGCTATATACTGCTGACGGTTAATCATGTTTTTACTCCGCTCGCCTGTAACTCTGCAACACAGGTAACAATTTTTTGGGTTACCATTATTTAGCAATGGGTTATTTTTATTTCTCGATCTGGATGGGTTTTCTTCGTTTATGAAAGGAGGTAGGTTAGTTTGTGCTGAAGAAGTTGTTCTTGCAGCTGTAGAAGAGCTTGCCATGCCCTGAAGGGAGAGAACAGCAGGCTTCACCCGGAGGATGCACAGCCTACTGTTAATGGTTATGTGCATGATTAATTCAAACCTAATTGCACAGTTGTAGAAGATCCTGTGAGGTTATGTTGTCAACTTACAATTTCATATAATTCTTTATTCTAGTGGTTTCCTTATTAGTGCAACATAATTTGAAGTACGTCATTAGCAATGCTCATTGTTTTGGTGGGATTGGTTGGGCCATGACAGAGTTCAGTTGGGATGTCAAGTATGCTGGCCTTCAAATCATGGCTTCCAAGGTAAAATCAAACCTTTTCATCTCTCATTATATAGTAATTTGCTTTTGTCCAGTTTCAATGATGATATAATATTAATTTATTTTAAATCACACTTTCACTTCTCCTTTTTTTGCCTATTGAACTACTGCAATCGTTACTGCTTCCTGGGGTATGAAGAAAGCTGCATTCTTTTCGGCCTTGGAAGTTGACAGGGTAATGGGAATGGATCATTCGTCTAAATTCCAGGATGGCATTTGATCTCGTGGGCTTTGCTGAAGCTGATGAGAATTTGAACGTGGAATCGCCCGTCCTGTTTTATGCTGGCTTTGATAGAAATGATTGGAGAGATGCTGAAACTGAATAAAATGAGACAGTGCAAGCTGTTCTTGGTGTTTGATTATTGTGCTAAGGAGGGAATACATGTGTTTAAATTTTAGACGTGTTTTTGGTTGAATTTTGCATTTGTTTGGTTGAATAAAAGGGAGTGTTTTTGCGTGAATTTGGATGAGAAGTTTGGTGATGATTTCTAGTTAAAAACATGTGTAATAGCCTTTTTGTAATTTTGAGATTCAAGGGGCTTTTTAGTATCAAATCTAATATAACTTTTTTCTGATTTTTTTACCACCAACATATTTTAATATAATTTATGAAAATACGATGGAGAATAGGAGTATATAAAAAAAACCAAAAAATTAAGAAAATGAAGGGAAATAAAAAAAATAACTGGAAAAATTAAACCCTGAAAAAACCCTTCATTCTGGAAAAAATCAAGTCAAATAAAATAAATAAATCAAACTAAAAAATTAAGTCAAATTTATTTAAATTTATTTTTATTTTAAAATAACTGAACTGAAATAAAATCGATTCGTTTTAATTGATTCTAGTTTTGATTTAAAAAAATAATTTAATTATTTTTTAATAAAAATCAAACCAAATAAAAAATAATCAATCCTAATAAAAATATGAAATTAAGATAATTTTTGTAATTAATTATCCTTTTTTTTCTTAACAAGTATTTTTAATTATTTTAAAAAATATTATTTGTAATCCATTTTTCAAATAAAAATAATTTTCAAATTCTTCGCAATTTTGAACGCGACCACTCTTTCTCTCTCCGCCAGGTCATAAATGCCGATTGCACGTGGCTCTGCCTGACGTGCACACTTTATCCACCGTTTAACTGTCGGCCCCGTATCCAAGAAAACACCAAAAGGCAAGAAACTTATAACAAACCCTGCGGACCCCACACGCAAATCCCAAGGAATAATATCTTATTATTTTTCATTTTTGTTTTCGCTCGAACCGACTGGGTGATCTCTACAGTAACCTTAACACCACAGTCCAAAACAAGTATCGTAAGCAGTGACAAAATCACCTCCCTGTGTGAGCCGTTGACACGCACGCTTGCCCACTTCATTACCTGCCACGTTTCACGCAATATCGGTGAAGTAAAGAGAAAAAACATGGCCACCCACCTGTATTCTAGAAATAATCCCTGCCGAGTCTCCCTCATTTTCCCCTATAAATTCATGCCCTTCCCTAGCGTTCTAAGTTTCAAGCGCCTTCACAGTATTAGACCCACCGGAAAGAGACGAAGGGAGAGGCCAAAAAGAATAGGGAGGGAAGTTGGGGTAGAAAGGTCAACAACAAAAAATGACAGCGGCGACGTCACTAGAGTTACCACCAGGTTTCAGGTTCCATCCAACGGATGAGGAGCTCGTGCTGCACTATCTCTGCCGTAAATGCACATCGCAGCCCATTGCTGTTCCTATTATTGCTGAAGTTGATCTCTACAAGTTTGACCCGTGGGATCTCCCTGGTAATGAGCTCTTCTTGTTTTAATCCTGCTCTTTCACTAGTTGATTGCAAGTTTTCATCCTTGTTGTTATTTGTTATGTCAAATTACAGGTATGGCCTTGTACGGAGAAAAGGAATGGTACTTTTTTACGCCGAGGGACAGGAAGTACCCTAACGGATCGAGACCGAATCGTGCTGCAGGGAGGGGCTACTGGAAAGCCACGGGGGCCGACAAGCCGATCGGGCAGCCAAAGACAGCTGGGATCAAGAAGGCTTTGGTGTTTTACGCAGGAAAAGCTCCCAAGGGAGAGAAAACCAACTGGATTATGCACGAGTATCGCCTAGCCGAGGTGGATCGCTCCGTTCGCAAGAAGAACAGCTTAAGGGTATACTCGTCACCCCAACCATCAATAGGGATAGTTTCGACATTTACATGCATGAGATGGTTCCAAATACGGACGTCGAGGTTGAAATGACAGCTTTGGCCTTTCCATGACGATATTTGGATTTACCAATCACCAACCTAATTAATCACATATTTTTTGCAAAAATTAATGTGGTCTTAAATTTGGTGGCCCTCGGATGCTGCTTGGCTTTATTTTATTTTATTTTTTTAATGAGGTTAGCCGTGACTGTGCCGTCACTATTTTAGTTCTTTAATTCCAGTCAAGGAAAATATTCCTCCTTATCTCTTCGTCGGATAGGACTGGATTTAATCATTTCATTTTGTTTGCTCTGATTCTGATGATCATTCGGCTAAACCAACGGTCCTGATTGTTTGCAGCTGGACGATTGGGTACTCTGTCGCATACACAACAAGAAAGGCACAATTGAGAAGCAAGGACAGCATCTTAGCGTCAAGAAAGCGAATTCGACGGAGGTTGCCGAGGAGGATGAGAAGAAGTCGGTGGTTATGCAGCCGCCGCCACCAGGTCCGTCCTCGGCGACAGGAACAGTGAATGATTACGTGTATTTCGACACGTCAGATTCTGTGCCGAGGCTACACACAGATTCGAGCTGCTCGGAGCATGTGGTGTCGCCAGAATTCACGTGCGAGGTGCAGAGTAATCCATATAATTACTTGGATGCCACCATGGATATTCCGTTTGCGTCTCCATTTCAGGGGAATCATCAGATGTCGCCGCTTCAGGACATGTTCATGTATCTGCAGAAGCCGTTTTGAAGTCATAATTATGGGAATTGACTGCGTTGGAGGGCGCAATCGCACGGTAACACGAGACTGAAAGTCTATGAGTGTGCGCGTGCGAGAGCGCCACGTAGATAAGAATTAACACGAGACTGATCGGACGATCGGCGATGAATGTGGATTTTGGGGGTGTGTAGTCCAGTAGCCACTACTCTGTATAGATGTGGCAGATTCAGGGAACGGCCTTGTTGAGGGTATAATTGGATTTATATTTTGTAACAGCAGGCTTTCCTTTTGTGGAATCTTATAACAGTTATTATTAATCTGCACGTATATCCTTTGTCCAATCCGTGTTTCTAATTAACTGATCCCTTCTTCAGTTTTTTTATTTTTTTTTTATTTTTAAGAAAGCCTTCTTTATCTCTTTAATAATATTAGCTTTGCGTGAAAAACTTTTGCCTTTGCGTTCGTGTGCCGGTTCCAAAACCGTTGAAAAAACCGTGCGTGTGTAAGTGGAACATGGATAATTGTTGTTGACGATGATTTCACTTAAACCATTGAATATCAAAAACAATCAAGGTCTAATCTCTCTCTCTCTCTCTCTCTCTCTCTCTCTCTCTCTCTCTCTCTCTCTCTCTCTCTCTCTCTCTCTCTCTCTCTCTCTCTCTCTCTCTCTCTCTCTCTCTCTCTCTCTCTCTCTCTCTCTCTCTCTCTCTCTCTCTCTCTCTCTCTCTCTCTCTCTCTCTCTCTCTCTCTCTCTCTCAGCCCAAGTCAAGAAACTAGCTGTCGGCACATTGTTAGTTCAATTCAGGACTTTTTGCCCATGATAAAAGCGTGGAATCTGAGGTTGCTTCCACGGCGGCACATGGGCGGCTAGGAGAGTTTTACATATATATTACATATAAAAGTGGTTAGCTTGTACGCATCGAAGTAGATGTATATTTATATTTAAAACAAGATTTATAAAATAAAATTTATATTTTGTGACATCTAGCTCTTGATATTAGTGAGTGGAGGGAGTCCAAGAGTATATATCACAAGATAATTTATATTTAAAAAAATCTATTTTTTTTCCCGGCACATAGAAGTTTTATAGTGTTTTTCATTTTATAATTTTTTTCCATGAGAGAATTCGAGAAATTAGCGAGGATATAATTCTTAATTTGGTTTCTCTCATATTTGCTTGAGATATTAAATTAACTATTAGGTACTTCCAAAAAAAAAAATGTTATCTTTCATGTGGAATCGGAACTCGAGGGTGATTATGACAAGGTATTTTATTACAAGGTAGTGTCAACGATGTGATAAAGCCATGGAGGATCTGGGGATATCTTCGACGATAGAAGGATTGAATGGTCGTCTCATGGGACAGTTGTTACTAATTTTACATTGTACTAGCTTTGCGTAGGTTTAATAATTTTTTAAAGTATTTTATTTTAAAATATATATAAAAAATAATATATATATATATTTATTTATTAAAATTTATTTTTTATATTAGTATATTAAAATGATCTAAAAATAATAATTTAAATCAAATTATTTTTTAAAATTTAATGAAAAATCAATTCAATTATGATACCAAACAAGACCCAGGATCCCTCAAAATGTTAATAACATCTTGAATATTACCCATACCCAAGAGTTCAGTTCAGAGATGGGAAAAACCCATTTTTTCCCGTATGAGATGGCGTGTCCTATCCTAACAAACAAAACGACTTAGTAAGGAGATATTTACATTGCCATGTAGTGTGATTTTTAAAATAATTTTTTATTTAAAAATATGTTAAAATAATTTTTTTTAGATTTTATTTTAGTTTAGATATAAACACATCAAAACCTTTAAAAATAACTTTAAAATATATCAATTTACACATGTAAATGTACTGCTAATGAAAAGTCAATAGCTGCATGTTTAATATTACATATTTGATATTATGATGTAATATATTTTTTAAAAGTACATATTGAATATATTAAAATGACTTTTTTTTATATTGACATATTAAAAGTATTTAAAATTATCTAAAAAAATATTAATTTAATATTTTTTAAATAAAAAATAATTTGAAAAGCATAAATGATTATATGTTTTTTGCATTTGTAAAATGATTACGTTGTCCTGTTTAAAATATATTTACTTTAAAATTATCAACTTTTAACAGTAATTATAGGCCGCAAGCTCCTATTTATTGGAAAAAAAAACCGAAATAGATATTTCAAAAAAAAAAATAACATGCATATACAGTTTTGATTTAATTTAATAGGTAAATAACACTTTTAAAAAGAATTCAATAGCATAAGAATTCGAGCCAATGCACTGTATCTGCGATGGATATATATATATAACACTTAGGACAGGCAAGAAAGAAGACAGAAATGCTGAATAACCAGCGATAAGATCTGTTATGCTGAAGCCACATTAACAAGTGGTTTGAAAGAGGCTGAAGATGATGATAACTGTCACAATCCCATTTTGACCGTAACTAAAATCGATCAAAGTATTGATGGCGAGGATGCATGCATGGTATTCTGATGACTGCTTTATTTGATTC